ACACCCCCTCAAAATTTCAGCTTTCTAGCTTTCCTGGCTCCTGAGTTAGCAACTTACTCGAAAAAACTTTCACGGGCTCGCACGTGGGTACCATGCACACCCGATGTCTGGGTTTGGGCTCGTTGAGACTTACGTGGACGGGGAACACCCTCTTAAAACTACAGTTTCCTAACTTTCCAGTTACCCGAGTTAGCAACTTACTCGAGAACTTTAGTGAGCCCGTGCGTGGGTACCACGCGTACTCGGAGTGTGGGTTTAAGCCCAATGAGACTTAGGTGAGCGAGGAATACCCTCTTAAAATTACAGTCCCTTAGCTTTTCAAATTCGCGAGTTATCAACTTACCCGAAAAAAATTTTGGCGGGCTCGTACACGGGTAACACGCTTATCCGGGGGCTGGGTTCCAGCTCATTAATACCCACTTGGACGGGGAACAACCCCCTAAGATTTCAGCTTTCTAGCTTCTCAGATCCCCGAGTTATCAACCTACCTGTAAAAAATTTTGGCAGGACCGTATGTGAGTACCACGCGGGTGATGGCGCCCATTTTGAGGATTGGGGCCCATATGTGCGTGCAGATTAAGTTCCCAAAATTTCAGCCCTGTAGCTTTTGTAGATCTTGAGATGAAAAACCGTGACAGATGCACACACGGACACACAGACATACATACACACAGACAACCCCTCGCCAATATGCGTTTTCTGCATTGCATTGCTGCAAAAAACGCATAAAAATGAATTAAACGGACTGTGAAAGAGTGTACGTTAGACTCTGCAGGCTGTTAAAATCCAAATGGTATGAACTGATCTGGAGAAGCGAAGGAGGAAAAGCTGAACCAAGTTTCGATGGTAACCACGTAACGTAAAACAATTCGAGAATGATAAGAAGCGAAGAATGCACAACGGACCACATTATATGAAAAAAAAGCTTTAGGGCGAGATCCTGAAACGCTACTAGCTGCACCGGCAACGCTAAGAAGCGCAAGATGAAATCACCACCGTTGCTCAAGTGACGAACAGTTTTCAGGTAATTTTTCTTTATTTTTAATGAGTGAAGAAAGCTATTCACTACCATATTTTTCAAAATGTACTGCTGGACTCTACCGGATTTCGAAGGCTTACTTTGCACTGCTCTCACTCCCTCGTTCTCCTAACTCCGTCTGCGCCTAACCTCGTCTATCCTCTCTCTCTCTCTTGCTCCTCTGGTCAAAGAATGGGTCCAGCTGGCCAAGCTGAAAAAACTTCGACGTAGATAGACGAAGCTGTTCATTGAATTAATCAAGATCTCATAAAGAAAAAGACACAACTTAAAAAAAATAATGCAAACTCCTGACTGAACACTTACATTGTCAGTGCCAGGAAACGTTGAACTATCGATTCCAGAAAACACAAATTCAGGTGACGCAAGTGAAACCGGAGCAGCCGATCCAAAACACTGCGAGCCATCATAATCAAATGCATGTGATGGTGTTTCACATGGCTGCTTGTCATTTTCCTGCCTATCATAACCTGCCTCATGGAGGGCCTTCTCCATATATACGTTTGGAAGCATAGGATCTTCCGAATTAATACTATCATCAATCATAGCCATGAAGTCCATCGATGCAACAGTCGCTGGAAACCATGACTTTGCAATCTACTCACTCAAAGACAAAAAAAATCGAATGACAGCAAAAAAAGAAATTCATCCGCAGCACATACGTTCTTTTGCAATCTCACTCGACAAAAAATACCTTGAACATATCATAAAGTTATAACTAAAAATTATAAGTGTGTCAGCAGCAAGTGACTCAAATTTCATTAAAGCCTATAAAGATAATTACCTTGAACAGTTTCAGTAAGCTTCTCCATCGCTGCGCCTGCTGTTTGGTCCTGTCGGTCCGGCTGCACAACGGTCTGCAAGTGTGGGATTTTCTACTAATATACCAAATGTTCTCGAAGCTAAAACAAAAGTCACAGACACAGTCCCTTCTAGAATCCACTTCCTGTGGGAAACAGATGCCCTCGGAGATGGCATTAGCAGAAACTAGCACTAGCAATCACTCGTCGACAAACTTCTCACAGCTTATCCATCCTAAGCTTGCTCAGAAGCGCGACAACAGCAAGCTGACCTCCCTGACATATGTGTCAAACTACACTTCAAACTGAACATGAACTAGTTTCCCAACAATTAAATCATATCATCAGTAACGAACTTTAAACAGCGCACCATTTGCCGGCACTAAAAACCAACCCTGTCAGCAATGAAAGAGAAAGCACTAGAATTTAGAAAGGCAATTGTGTCCTGTGTTTTGAAGACAAATAATCAGGAAAGCACGAAGCGAGAACAGAGTGCGAGGAAGGAGCTCAAATTATTTGCGCCAATCATCTTTTTTTTATTTCTGAATATGCTGCTCAGAAGGAAAATGACCGGTAATACACTCAAAAGCTGAAAAGAAAGAGAACTGCAGTCACCGTCTTTCAAAGTTTGAAATGCAGGAAAAAATTGAATAACATCTAGCTTCCCTACAATACCCTACTTCCTGGTAAGGAACGATTTAAAAAGTCCAAGCGGCCAACCGCGATTTAAAAAATCCAAACAGGCCACGAAAAAAACTTGCCAATATTGCACTCTCCTTCGCCCGCTCAGTTCTGAATGTGGCCCTGCCGAGCCGTGTAGAGATATCATCAACTTGCTCCAGTGGAACTCCCCAATCATTCGTCTGGACAGATCGTTCAACCAAAGTTACTGGAGAATCTAAATATTCACACGATAGTAAAAAGGCAGGATGACTTCCAATTTCAAGATATTAACAAAGAGCAAAACCTGAAAAAGTATTCTTAATTATGCCACTGATAATCAGCCTAATGGCGGTAAGAACCACGATTACTGTTACAGCCATGCGCTTTTGCGATCAGCTAAAATGGCTTCATTTGGTGAGTGAGAGTTTTGCTTTAGAAATTTTTTATTATCATAACAGTAGAATATCTTGGCTTCAGATGTGATGTTTGGCTCCTGCAACGCACTGTAAAATAGATAAATGACCAAGGATCGTGATATTTTGAACATTTTAGATTGCCTAATTGCAGAGTTGAACCACACCGAAAACGCATGATGGCGGCACGCACCACGCTTGTCGGTTTGATCATGCGTTTTTGCATAATTTTCCCACAGACGCTTGCTGCCAAGTAGCAGCTTTGCGGGTAAGTACTTATAGTTGACAGGATAGAAATATGTGTCAAATCTGAATTCATTACCATTTTAAATTTTACTTTCATGATTTTAATACATTATGCGAAAACTTCAGCAGTTATAATGCAGCGCTGGCGGGATAGAGGGAAGTGAAAACTTTTTTCACACATACTCATTCAAATATGGTCACTTTAGCTGCTGTGTTTGCAGAGTTAAGGAATCATTAGCACCAAATTTCACGTCTCCGTACATAAGATGAATAAGGGAAGTGAAAGTCGTTTTCATGTGGATCTGCTCAACTACGGCTGCAGATCACGCTCAAAATTGTCTGCGCCAAGGCATACGTACCCGTACATGATGCATAGGAGGAGACGCGGATGTTTTGCTCCTACCTAAGCAAGCCCGTGGATTATGCTCAAAAAATTTCAGCACACTAACTGCACTAGTTGCGGATTATTTCACGCCTTCAAATTCATGTCTGGAGAGCAAATGTCCTGGCAAAGTTTTACCCCGAACTGGTAGTAGTACGGTGTCAAACTGAACTCTGACTTGTACATGGGTGGCATTTAGGTGTGCGTGAAAAGCTGAATTTAACTCCTATGGGTCCCACGTGGAAAGAAACGTGTTCGTAAAGTTTCAGCCTCTCAAATTGTCTGACTTCCGAGACGTTTCCCCACCAAAAAATCTTTAACGTCCCGGTAAGTAAACAACTGCGGAAGACGTGAAAGTTAATCTTAAGCCTAAGGACGCCAATCGTAGTGGCTGATGAAGTTCCGAAATTTTTTACCTAGCCAGATTCTTAGGTCCCTGAATCGAAAAATGTAGACAGACGCACGCAAAAGCGTATACACGCAGACAGTACATACACATATACAAGCATACACGTGCATATACACATCCATGTGTGTACATGTATGTATATACACACATATATATACATATATATACATATATATATACATATGTACATATATATGTATATACATGTACATACATATATATACATATATGTATGCATCATACTCCTTTATATTATGCAATTTATGCACTGAATAGATAAAAGATGCAACAAAAAATTCCAATTTCACGTGTCGCTGAGCAACTGAGAAATAGGCATGCATTAAAGCTTGATTTAAGCCTTCTGAACCGCGTATGTGCAGGGATAATCTTCCTACAGTTTTAGCCTCTTGGCTTTTTTGGTCCTGGGGTTGGAAAAATCCCCGCCGAAATTTCACGTGATCGTGCGTGAGACGTAGATTCACGTAAAACTGAGTTTAAATTTTCTGGATTGTACATCTGCAAGAAACATTCTCTTAAGATTTCACCTTCCTAGCTTTTCCTGCTCACAAATGTTAAAAATATCCGTTAAAACTTTTACGTGTTCGTATGTAAGAATTCGATTTGTGCAGAAACAAAATCTGAGCATCCAAGGCTGGATGTGGATATGTAACATGCTCGAAAAATTTAGTTTTCCGCCTTATGCATTTCGAAAGTTACCATCGTTTTCCCGTGCAGACTTTCACACGTACGTAAGTGAAATCTAACGTACTTAAGAACTAAACTTGAAATTTTTGAATCGCACACGACCGAGACATCTCCCCAGTATTTCACCCTCATTTGATTTTGCTTCTTCTTCTGCAAGGAGTTAGGTACATCACCGACACTTTATAAAAGTGAATTAAGCGAGAAAATCGCTGACAAAGTGAGGAAATTACTAACGATTCTGATTAATTGACGACGTGGTCGTTGTAACTACACTGGCAGTATCTCCCATTGATGCTGGATACGAATTCAAATGCTTGAACTCTCTACTTTCGCCATTGTACTGAAGAAATTCGTCTATTAATATTCCCTATCACAATCAAACGAGCATTAGTATGCTGGGATGAAAAGATATTAATTTTACATACAACCTAAGCCGGAGGACTGGAAGTAAAGTGCAGTCCTGTTGTAGATTGAGGGTTCATTTTCGACGGTGAGGCAATTAACCCCTTTGTGAATCGCTCATTCATCTCGATGACAGATTAGCCACTCACATATGCTTGGGAGACATAGCTGCCATCAGTTTGCTTGTAAGTAACCCCCGAAAGCGGAAACCATCGATAGCCCTCCAGCTGATGTTTGTTGTTCGTTAATTTCCGAGTGCCTCTATCTCTCATAAACAGCGAATTTGGAGAGGGGTTTTAACTTTGATATAACCTAAATTCCCAAAGACCACTGAATCGAACTTTATATATTACCCTATGAGGTACAAAACTTAGTCGAAAGCGTACCGGCTGCCGGTACGAGGGTGCGCTTTTGCACAGTTCCCCCGCAGGTTTTTTAGCCAGTGGCACGCTCTTCCTTGCAAATGTTTCTAGCTAAAAGAACTGTGACTGCCCACCACGACAGTTAGAAATTATTACAATGACTCCCAGCCCATGACCAGAAAATCCACCACTGTGGATACTTAGGTTGCAGAGTTACGACAAATTTCACGTGTTTGTACGTGAATGGCAACGTGACTTTCTTTGCCTGCTGTTACTTAAACACGGTCCTGGGTAGCACTCAGAAAGTTTCAGCACTCCAGCTGCTCTGGTTGCAGAGTTACGTCAAATT